CTGTCCCTAACCTGATCCTTCAAATATTTCATTGGTGTACCCACAACCACTGTAACTAATCCATCCATCTGGCTGCCAGTATTTCAAACTCTTTACTTTCATCTTTCTCAGCATCTGAATCTTCTCCAGGAAGCTAGGCCTTCACAACATGTATCCATTATTTGCCTGGTCATTTGTGCCTTGAATTAGAATTGTGAGTTGATTTGTTCAATGATCCATTTGTATGTTTCTTTGTCTGCCCATGGTAATTGTGAGAGTCTTCTCCAACATCAGTGTTCAAAAAGGTCAGGTTTGCTGATGACACGAAATTATTTCTGGACATAAAAAAGATTTCCAAAGGAATTTACTGTAAAAAAAAGAAAGTAAGTGCACAGCATGTTATGACTAATAAGAAACAGTGCTGAAAGTAGAAGAGAAGAGAAGACTTTATTGGCCAAGTAGGATTGGACACACAAGGAATTTGTCTTGGTGTAAATACTCTCTGTATACATAAAGAAAAGGTACATTCATTAAGAATCAAGAATCATAACGTACAACACTTAATGATAGTCATAGGGTACAATAAGCAATCAAATCATACTAGAAAACAGTCAATATAAATTGTATGGATACAAGCAACAAAGTTACAGTCCTACAATCACAAGTGGGAGGGGATGGGTGATAAGGAGTGATGAGAAGATTAACAGTAATAGTAATGTAGACTTTGTAATAGTTGAACAGTGTTGAGAGAATTATTTGTTTAGCGGAGTGATGGCTTTCGGAAAAAAACTGTTCTTGTGTCTAATTGTTCTGGTGTGCAATGCTTTATAGTGTTGTTTTGAGGGTAGGAGTTGAAACAGTTTATGTTTGGGATGTGAGGTGTCTGTAAATATTTTCACAGCCCTCTTTTTGACTCGTGCAGTATACAGATCCTCAATTGAAGGCAGGTGGGTAGTAATTGTTTTTTCTGCAGTCCTAATTATCCTCTGAAGTCTGTGTCTGTCCTGTTGAGTTGCAGAACCAAACCAGACAGTTATAGAGGTGCAGATGATAGACTCAATAATTCCTCTGTAGAACTGTATCAGCAGCTCCTTGGGCAGTTTGAGCTTTCTGAGTTGGCACAGAAAGAACATTCTTTGTTGTGCTTTTTTTATGATGTTTTTGATGTTAGGTGTCCATTTTAGGTCATGTGATATAGTAGAATCTAGAAATGTGAAGGTCTCTACTGTTGATACTGTGTTGTCTAGTATTGTAGTATAGGAGGGTTTCTTCTAAAGTCTACCACCATTTCTACGGTTTTGAGTGTGTTCAGTTCCAGATTGTTCCGGTTACACCACGAGGCAAGTAGTATAACCTCCTGTCTGTATGCAGATTCATCGTTCTCTCGAATGAGACCAATCGCTGTTGTGTCATCAGCAAACTTCAGTATTTTAACAGATGGATCGTTTGAGATGCAGTCATTGGTATACAGGGAGAAGAGGAGATAGCACACAGCCTTGGGGACCCCCTGTGCTGATTGTACAGATATCAGATGTGATTCCGCCTAGCTTCACTTGCTGCTTCCTGTCTGTTAGGAAGCTTATGATCCACTTACAGGTGTGTTCAGGTACCGCTAGTTGGTTTAATTTACTTAGAAGAGTGTCTGGAATGATGGTATTGAATGCTGAACTGAAGTCTACAAAGAGGACCCTTGCGTAGGAATTTGGAGATTCAGGGTGATGTAGGATGTAATGCAGAGCCATGTTAACAGCATCATATGTCGATCTATTTGCTCGGTATGCAAACTGCATGGGATCTAACAGTGGATCCATGATGGTTTTCAGGTGGGACAGCACAAGCCTTTCAAAGATTTTCATAACTACAGATGTTAGAGCAACTAGTCTGTAGTCATTCAGTTCCTTGATGGAGGGCTTCTTTGGCACTGGGATGATGGTAGAACGTTTGAAGCAGGAAGGAACATAGCACATCTCTAGTGATCTACTGAAGATTCAGGTGAAAATGGGGGCCAATTGGTCAGCACAGACTTTTAAGCAAGAAGAAGTTATCTTGTCTGACCCTGGTGCTTTTCCTGGCTTCTGTCTATGTAATAGATCTTGCACTTCTTTTTCTGTGATCACCAGAAGTTGTGAGCCCAATGGATGGGGACCAGTTGTAGGAGGCTTGGCTGTTGTTGGTGTGTTTGAGATGTGGGTTATGGAGATAGGTGGCTGTAGTTTCTTTTCAAACCTGCAGTAAAACATATTCAGGACATCTGCTAGTTGTTGATTTCCTTCTGCCTGGGAAGGAGGTTTGCTGAAGCCAGTGATGTTTTAAAGAGTTTTCCACATGTTTGCTGGTTCGTTTGTTAAGAATTGATTATTTACCTTTTCAGAGTAGCTTCTTTTTGCTGCTCTGAGCTCTCTTGTTAATATGTTTCTCGCCTGGTTGTATAGCATTCTATCACCTTTTCTATAGGCTTCCTCTTTGGAACAACGTATCTGCTTAAGTTTAGCTGTGAACCAGGGTTTATTGTTATTATATATTTGCAGGTTCCTTGTTGGTACACATAAGTCTTCGCAGAAGCTAACATATGATGTTACAGTGTCTGTGATCTCATCTAGGTCTGCAGAGGCATCTTCAAAAACATTCCAATCAGTGCAACCAAGGCAGGCCTGGAGTTTCAGCTTTGCCTCATCTGACCAAGTCTTCACTGATTTAATTGTTGGTTTAATGGTTTTAATTCTTTGTCTGTAGGCAGGTACAAGGTGAAAAAGTAGAGATGCCAATTTCATGATGTCCTTATAAAAATTGTGCAACTGCATCTGGAATATTGTGTGCAGTTTGGTTACTACACCTCAAAAAGGATGTGAATAGTGCTGTGTCTTTACCAAGAAAACCACATGAACAGAAACCACATGGGCTGGCCAATGTCTAGGTTTTTGTTGTAAATACAAAACAGATTCTAACTGAATGCTAGAAAATGGTTACATTAAATCAACAATAGAACCAGGGATAATCTCTGGTAATCTCATCTTCAGTCCATGTCTTCAAGTAAAAGCTAGATCACTGTCTGTCAGAAATAACTTGGTTACTGCTGTTGGAAGTTATGATTCCCCTCTCTTTTAGGAAAAGAAAATAAATTGTAAAACATTAGAAGGGAGAGGAAAATTCCCCTAAAAGAAAGGAGAGGTGAAAACACAAGCAGGGACAGCTCCATTAGCCCCCACTTTTGCATGGGATACACATTAGTTAGGATCCTTTCCCATAGAAATCAAATAGATAGCAAGCTACAAAAAACTTGTGAAAAGCAAACAGCATAACAGGAAACTCAGGATATTGCAACCAGGTGCAAACTGATAGCTACAAAGGATCAGGGAAAAACAGAGATTGGACTATAAAACAATTACTCCTACCAAGATCCCAGGAAGAGATCCCAATCTCAAGAAACAGGAACTTGAACACAAAGCCGTCAAAGATTCACACTTACAAAATCAAAGAACTTGAAGTGTATAAGAAAGAAGTTTTCCTACTCACTTATTAATCTCAGGAACGCTATAGGGTTTATTCTTATTTGCCTTCCTATTAATAAACTGATTCTAGCTTCCAATGAAGCTGACCAAATGATTTTGCAGTAAAATCTCCCAGCAGGGAAGTTTGAATCCACAAAAGGAAAGAACTTTGCCTTTTTCCTTAAAGGGCAAGGCTTCCTTTTCCTTTTCCTTTCCTCAATTGGTGACTGGTGGGACTTGAACCCACAACTCTATAATTTTATGAACAATAAGGTCATACACAAACCGTTAGACTGTAGCCTTCTGATACTAATTTAGAGAATTCCCGTAGTTCCATAATCTTTCAACTAATGCTTTCTGGACAAATGGATTCTTAAATAAAAAAAAGCATAATAATGCAAATATTTCAATATAAATGCAAACTTGCATTTGCTGAATGCAAACAACTACCATATTGAACTTCATTTGTCTAAAATGGCTGGTTCAACTCTTTCACAACTTAGCCCAGCATGTCCCTGATATCTGTTTTCTTAATTACCAGGAAATGACAAGATTTCAGTTCAGAAAGGAAACCAAGTGTCTTCTGCAACTTCCTAATTTTAATACAGTGGGGCGAAGTAAGATTTCAATTGACGTTTGGATGATGTTTATCATTCAATTTATTGCGGACACAAAATCAGGATGAGACACACATCAAAGACCCCCGGCTTCTTGACTACATCACCCATCACTCTGGACTCTGGATAGCTTTGTTAGTTACAAGAAATTAATCATATATGGCTACAGTGATAAAGCCGGCGCAACATTGCGGTGTTTATTTTGACAGAAGAAAGATGTATATCTCCAAGCAGGATAATGAGGACTAATTTCAGGAGAGGGCTTAAAAAAAACAAGCCGCTCGGACTAGAGATGAAGCTCAGAAGGCCGCAGGCGCAAGCTTCCTCATCACCATAGCAACGCACCAAGATTGCGTACGCCCGGGTTAACAACAACAAAAAAAAGATGACTGCGTAGCGCACGAGCAATTATTGACGCGCGCGACTGAAAAATCGTGATGCGCGGAAACATAAACGAGGCTATTGGGTAGATTCACGTACGCATGCGGCAATTCCTGCCCGTGGGACATTGTGCGGCTGAAAGGAAAAAAAAATTGAACGCGTTTTCCTTCTCTGACTTTTGATTGGCTTAACTATCGTGCGGTGAAATGCTTGGGAGGGCGGGACTTTTGCGGCTGCTTCTTTTTTTTTCTTATTGGTGAAACTCTTGGCTAAGTTCCAGAGGGCTGAGCTGTCCCTCGGGTTGGTTGCTCACTTACCCGCCCCTTTGTCGTTCCCCCTCCCTATTGCAATCGCCGTCGGGATTGGACAGGCTGAAAAGAGGCAGGTCCTCGCATCGGGTGCTGAACCGGGTTGGTTAGATTGTCGGCGGCTGCGAGCGGAGCGCCTGTGGGAACGGAGAAGCGGCAGCGGGGCTGAGGCGCGCGCGCGCGCGGAGGCGGAGGAAGGTAGGCAGGATAGGTTGGTTGGTTGGCTCGATCAGCCGTTCCCTCCGCCCTCCTTCCCTCCCTCCCGTGGAGAAGAGGGCCCGGTGGAAAAGTAAGTGCCCGGGATCGGCGCGGGAGGGTTCCCGAGAGATCCGGTCGGGGAGGGAAGGGGCCTCTCCTCCTTAGCCGGTTGATTCGCCCCTTCGCAGGGACCCCCCCCCTGAAGCTCGATCGGAAAGGAGAAGGCTCGATGGGGGTCTTGCTCCCTGGGTTGCTTTCGCGAATTCCCCAGAGCGGGTGGTCGCCTGGAGCGTCAACCTCGCGTAGGTTTGCTCTATGGGCGCGCATAGGCTCAGTTTGGCCGTAGTGCAGGTATTCTCGCTGCAGCGGCTAGCAGCAGCAGCACTACCACCACTACCACCACCACCTCTCCAACCCGGTCTGCAAAAGAAAAGGATCAGGAATAATTCCTTAGGCTGGAGTTTCTTTCCCCTGGAGAAATTAATTTCTAGAATATATGTTGACTCTGGTGCTGTATATTTTACGGTGGTGATCTTATTCAAATTTGCAACAGCCATTTGAGGTCCGTCGTCAAGTGACCGATAGCACTTCTTTAAAAAAAAAAAAGTAGTGTAGCTGAGTTCAGCGTTTTTAGCCTTGGTTTACTTTAATAACTTTTTGTGACCGATCTCACATCATTGTTAGATCCGCTAGAGATGTGTTTGGCCTCTCTTGGCCATACTAGTAGTATGACCCTAATGGCAGCTGTAATGTGCCAGTGGGAAAGGGAAGCTTCTATGGAATTGTAGTGCTGAGGTTATAGGCCTGTATGGGTTAACACATTTTGTTAAGTTGTAGTTTCTTTAATAATGGTTTACTGATTAAACCATATTATGAGGGGCTCATCTAACTTGTTAAATGATAAATCATGATTTAGAAATCACGGGGATGCATTTCATAGAACACACAAAATTAGAACAAAAGAAACCAACCTATAGTTTAACTTCCTGTAATGCGTAGCTTAGCCTGTGAATGACAGTTAAAACTTGTCAAACTAAAAATGTCTCTAATGCTGCTTTTTATTATTCCTAAATCCTGAGGAATAATGACTAGATTGAAACAGAAATAATGTAAACAGTACATCTGTTCATTCTCTGGTGTGACAGTCCAAGAAAGGCAACATGTTTCTTTATGACAAGGTAACTAATAAAGTGACTTTTAATTAGATGGCTATTAGAAAAACAGCAAATCTCAAGAGGCGCAAGGCAAGTGCGTAAGATATTAAAAGGTCTGGGTTTCATTTGGGACAGCCAAACTGCCATGGCCCCGTCTGTGATGAAAAAAGAAGGCTGATCATTAGACCTTTTCTGAGAAGGAATTTATCACATGAAGATTCTCTGCTGGGAATTATATTATCTAAAAGACATCCATCTTGCATGATTGTTTTTTGGTTGGTGTTGGCAGGAACTCCAGTTTGAGCTGCAAAATGGAAGTCAACTGTGGGGCAAAACTGTGCCTGAGCCATACTCCTTGGTTATTACTTGGGTAAATCAGCACCAGTTGCTGATGGACAGCACAATAGATGGCTTCTTACTTTTGCCTTTAGGAAAAGCTTTCCATTTAGGAATTAAGTGGACAGTACCTGTAAATAAGGGAGTTTTTATTTTCATCTTTTTGTAATTGGAGCATGGTCTTGAAAGGCATAACTTGAAACACAATTACTGAAAGACTGCTTATATGTGTACTAAATGGCCTAGGCCTAAGGGCCACTAATGAAGATCTTGCTCATATATCTGCTAAATAGAGCAATGAAGTTGGCAAGAACAATTAAGACCACCATTTTGCTAATATAGTAGCTACAAAATAGAAATGGCCACATGTAATATTGTATGTGACCAGTTTTCTTATTATTTTTTATTTTAAATAGTTCCTACTATTAATAGTTTGTTTGGGGTTAATGAATTTAGTTCTTATTTGAGTATATATTTGAATGTGTTGTTCTATTTTCAATTTTTAAATAATTTTAAAAACCAAATTGTAAGATAGCTGTATAATATTTGAATTGCTCTAAAAACTAAAATATTGATAGAAAAATTAAGAAATAGAATCAAAAGATAACTCATTTTACTACTTCTTAATTGTGAAAAATAGGATCTAGATTCACTGAACTAAGCAGTTATTAAAGCTATCTATACTGAAAACACAATAGCTATGTGTTGTGTTATGCCATTGAAGCTTTTAATACAGATACTACAATTGTCTGGAATATTGAATTGCTCAGGGGGCAGGATAGTTTATAGCCAAGACTTTTTTTTAAAAAAAGAAAAGACTTAATCATCTCTGGACAAGGAAAGACCAGTTGATTGAGGTGAGACTGAGACATTAAAACAAGGAGATCTAATAACAAGGAGAATAAAGAAAAGGTATGGAGTCAGCAGTGGACTGAAAGAGAAGAATTGAAGGGGAATTAAGGTGAAGGCCAGAAAAGAGCAAGAGTGGGAGGAATTTAGGAACCAGAAAAGATGCTATGCTAGGAAGGACAGACAAGAAGATGTTTATTTTTTTTAAAAAAAAGGAACAAAGAAAGTGATGGTGTAATGATTAAATATATAGAGAATATATTTTTATCAAAAACCATTTTTGATGCTGCCCTGCTTGATAAGCGGGAAAAGAAGGCTGGTAGTGCTGAGTCAAAAACCCAAAATGGCATAAGATTTATAGAGTTTTATTGGTTAAGGTTCTACTTGTTGGAATTAGGTGGTCAATGCATTTATCTAATATCATGTAGAGGTTATAATTCTAAATAACTACTTACTTGAGGGTCATTTTCTTGGCTAGAAGAAAGGCTTTTGTTTTACCAATGTTCAAAGCTGTTTTGGGATATTTTATTGTTATTTTTGTTTGTATTAATATCCCACCTTTTGCACTCTTTTTGTGAAAGCTCAAGGCAGCTTACAACGAGGAGCTCCTTAAATATTGACATCATAAAAGTCTAAAAAGTAGATTAATCTAAAGAGTAATTTCCTCAAAGTCAAGCAACAAACTTTGTGAATGAGTGGGGGTTTTAACATCCAGCACAGGCATCCACACCAAACCAAAATTAGATCTGCATCGTAACATCACGATGCAAATCCCACTTTTATGCACTTGTGTCCTGACACATCTTCCTTTTGGATAAATTGTATTATTCACTATTTGCTAGAAAGTTTTAAGAAATGCTTGTAACCTATATTTATACACATACACACACAGACAAATAACTGCCATTCATAGGGAAGCTTGTGTGAGATGTTTTATTTTATACACAAAAGAATAATCTTTAATAGGGATTTGTAATGTTTGAAATAGTCCTTGTGTTTCATTAGTTCTGAATAATTTATATGATTTTTCTTAAGTGTTTACATTACCACAAATACTTTACAAATATTTGAACTTATTATTTCACAGATATAGCTCATTTTGTAATCTAGAGGAGAAATTGTAGTTCAATAGTACAAAAAGGCTCAGATATTGTGTTTGTAAATTACATGGTATGAGAATGAGCATGGCTCGCCTGTCAGTGATAGGCAAGATTTGCTTTTAAGTTAGTATTGATCAGACTCTTGGAAGTTTGAACATTGTTGAAACTGAAATATTTTATATCTTTACAGTATTTTTTATTTGACTATTTTTAAAAAATGAGTCCACATCTATACTAATTAGGGAAAATTTCTTTGAAAGAAAGTGTTGAAAGTTGTATGAAATATATCTTGTGAACTTTTGGTTGCCTTTGTTCATGTCCTTGAAAAGTGATGAACGATTCTAAAAGTTATTTAGAACGCAGAGGAAAAGATGGGATATTGGGAAGTGTTGAATATAATTTATAGGTTCTGTTAATATTTTCATTGTTAAGATCATTTTGTTTTAATTATTTTTTACACCACTGCAGACATGCATAAGTGCATATATAGCAGTGGTGGCTAACTTTTTGGGGCTCCTGTGCCAAAAATTGTGTGCATGCTTGCATGCAAACACCCAGAAGGCAATGCACGCGGCCCTCCCATATCCCCTGCGCATGAGCGTGCGATTCCCCCGCCCTCTTACCTGCACTGCACCTCCCAGCTGATTTTTGCCCTGTTTGAGGCCTTTTTCGGCCTGCCTGAGGCTTGAGGGAAGCCTCTATAGCCTTTGCATGCTGAAAAGTGGGCCCGTTTAATCACTTCCTGTATTTCCAGAAATACCGGAAGTGACAAAAGGGGCCTATTTTTCAGCCTGCAAAGGCTGGCAGGTTGAAAAAGGCCTCAAATGGGCTGAAAATCAGCCAGGAGGTGTCAGCTTGCTCAGTGAGGTAAGTTTGCCTGGGGCTCGTATGCCCGCACAAATGGCTCTGCGTGCCACCTGTGGCACGCATGCCATAGGTTCACCATCACAGATATATAGTATACAATATTAAATACAGTTATTGAATAAAAAAAGTAAATGTAGTTCCAACTTCGACTAACATTAGATTCAAATACATGTCCATTAGGATTCCAATTTAACTCGGGCATGTGCAGCCTGTGAGCCATGGGCTGCATGCGGCCCCAATATAATACAATGCAATGTATTGTACTATACATATCTTAGAAGTTTGTTATTTATATGCATTAACTATATTATATATTCATATGCAGCCCAAGACTATTCTTCTTTACAGCCCAGGTAAGCAAAACATTGAACACCCATGAATTAGCTGCTTTCCTACTTTAGAGAATAAAAAATTGACCTGGACTGAGTTGCCCACTTCAGTCACCATTGATAGTTACATAAATAGGCTGATTTTTTTTTTAATATAAGGTATTGTGGGAGGTTTTTTTTAATCTAGAGGAAATGTATGGTACTTTCTATCCCCTGAGTTCAGAAACAGTGTTGGAACTGGTAACTTTAACAGTTGGTTTTGTTATTCTCCTTAATATGCTGACCCTCCTGTTTGCAGTATAAACTTTAGAAGCACTGAAGCTTCTAAAGACGATACTGACTGCAACTACAGTACTGCAGAAGTGGGGCAGATGTGGATATCTAAGACAGGACACCCACTTCTAAAGAAATGCTTTAATTCTATGGAGAATAAGTTTAGCAAGTTAAATGAGGAGT